TTGAAGGCACAAACTAAACTGTTCATAATTTATTATTTATGGTACGCCAGCATTCATAACATGTAGGCTTTTAGGCCCCTGGCATTAATAGGTGACATTTAAGAGATTCCTCACCACATTTTTTAAAGTTTTAATCACAAAATTATCTATCCTGAACAGATGACAAAAGCCTTCTTGCCACAAATGAAATCAAGGAACCATGGCCACATTGTCACCATTGCAAGCGCACTTGGACTGTTCACCACAGCGTGTGTAGAGGTATGTGGCACGACACCCATTACCCCCCTCCCCAAAATAAAGCCTGACCATTATAAAAGCACACCAAGTGGCCTGAACAGTTCTACTCTCTTGCAGGATTACTGTGCCAGTAAGTTTGGTGCTGTTGGTTTCCACGAATCACTAGCACATGAACTGCGAGCAGAAAACAACGATGGCATCAAAACCACTTTAGTGTGCCCCTACATTGTTGACACAGGGATGTTTGCAGGCTGTGAGATCAGGTGAGATGCTGCGGGACATCTTTCAGCCCATCTGACAGGTTGCATTAGAACTTTTTTTTTTTTTTGCAAACCTTCCAGGAAAGAGATTCAGAGTTTGATTCCTCCACTTGAGCCTCTCTATACGGTGCAGCAGTCCATGAAAGCCATATTAGGAGAGCAAGAGATGGTCTGCATTCCTCGTATAATGTACATCCCCTTCATCGCAAGAGCGTGAGTAGGCTACTTATTAGACATGAGAAACGGCCATGGCCATTTGGATTAAATATTGACTTGTATCGTATATTTTACAGGGTGCTGCCTTGGGAGGCCAACGTTGTGACGTATCGCTTCATGGGAGGTGATAGATGTATGCTGCCATTCATCAAGAACACTGAGACGAAGACATCAAATGGCCACATGAAATCCCCCTGAGTCTTTTGTGTTTTTGAATGGAATTAAGTAAATGCCAAGGATTGTGTTAAGGATTTTATGATAGTTTCCTATTAAAGGTGTATATAAAGATTTAAAATAAATTTAGCAGAAACTTGGTCTTTTTCAAAAAAAAACATAACTTTCTTTTAAATAGATTTTCTCAGACTGTACTTCCTAAGGAGTATCAGGTCCTTCAGTGTTTGCAGCAAGATGTTACATATGTTGTATAAGTCTATTGTGAAGAGTGTGATCACTTCTGGCATATTCTGCTGGGGTAATGGCATTAGAGCAAATTACTGAAACAAGCTCAACTCCTCAAGAACTCCTCTAGAACCTCTGGAGATGATTTTACAATGAATAAGTCATAAAATGAAGAACATTTTGGATACAGTGTACATCCTCTTCAGAATGTGTTACACAACAACAGTCTTTATACAAGCTGGAGGATCCTTCCTGCCTGCAGGTATGCACATCTAGAACTCTGTAAAAAAACCACATCACATTTTCCTCTGGGACCAATGTGTGTTTGAATTGAATATCTTCTGCTGGTGATGACCTGCTTTACAGCTATCTACTAGGATTTGTTTCAGCACGTTATGCTTCCTTCTCCTGACAAAAGGTTATGTAGATTATTTAATTTTCCAGTAGAAGCTGATAGCCACCTACGCTGGCAAGGGTACCAAAACTGGTTCCCATGGTGTTACCGTCTGAACAGTGAACTGGCATGAACCTTAGAACAGCTAAAATGAGCTAAAGCACAGTTTGGAAGCAACATGGCCTTTCTTTAAACTTCAGAACCAAAGGATGATCTGAATGTCTCAATGCATTTCTGATTTAAATCATGTAAAAGGATGGAGTGCTTTTTAGAAGCTTGGCATTTCAGTTTAACAAGATGTTTAGGATCATTATGAAATATCGTAATAAACTGAATTTTGGGTTTTCATTATGTCAGCAAATAATCAACCCTAACCCAAGAAATTTGGGCTTGTAAAATTTCAGCAATGGTTTCACTTAACGACATTTCAAAGATTTTGACTACCTTTAATATTCATAATTTTATTGAACCAGTAAACATACAGGTTGTATTTTCACGTTATGGTGCAATAAGACATTTTTCCTCAAAAGATGCTTGACTTATACACAAGACTAAAAACGGAATTATTGGTTAAATAGAATACAAAGCAGATTACTTCAAAAATATTTTTATAATAAAGTTGAATAAGAACCCAGTTTAGAAGTAAAACAGCACTAGTGACAGATGTACACAAGTGTGTCTCTTTATTCACATGACAAAGTGTTGAAAACAAAAGCACAAGACTGCAACAAATGGGAGGAACACATGCAACAGAAACAAAGGACAGATGTGTGATCAGAGTGAAGTCACTATGATCAAGAACCAATGCCAACCAACAAAACTGTTAATAAGGAAATCTCTTCACTTCTGTTCTAATACTCTTCAATTCAAATTTGTTATGTTACCAGTGCATGGACACCAACCTAAATTCCTGTTGACATTACCAAAGAGGATAAATTTTGCTTTGCCACCATTTGGTCGTCTTTAAAAACACTTAAAACGTTTTCTTATGAAAAGACCTCCCATTTTCAGGCAAAATCCTGCTGTTTATTTTTTAATCCATCATGGAGTCATGATCTCAGCTGTAATTGATCTGTGAGCTGACTAGGGCTAACTGTGTCTGCAGCATTTGCATAGTCATCCGCATCTTTGTTTTAAACCAGCTGCACATTCGCTGCCTGCAAATATCCCTGCAGAAACTTCAGGGCATCCGCATTCAGACTGGTGCTCAGCATGGAGGGAACCTGTGCCAAAAACAGACACAAGGGGGCAACATTTGCATTAATTGTCATACATGATGCACTTCAGAAATAGCTTTTCTTACTTCCAGTAGAGGATTCCTACACATTTTACTATCTAAAAATGACATAGTGGTCCAAATTTTGTTTTTCCGAGTCCTTTGTTCAGTTTAAAATATGAAATATTCAGTGACCTGGGTGGGCTAAATGGGGTTACTTTGTACGGGTCAATTTTTTGTATATTATTTAATGCCTGTGTTTGGCAAATGCATTTTTGTATTCACAGACTGTATGTGTAAAAGGACAAAAAAAACAACAACAAAGACAATGATTAAAATATGAAATATTAATGATCAAAGTATGAGAACCATTTTATTCCTAAAATATGAATCCACACATTAAGTTTCAAATATGAAAAAAAAAGAAAGCAAGGAAGGAGGGTACATGGAGGAAAAAAGAATGGACAACAGGAAGGAAGAAAGATGGAGGTAAATATAAGACAAATGGTATCAGGAAAAAAGAAAGGAAGGCTGCAAGAAAGAAAAAGACAGGAAGGAGGAATCACCCAGAGGGAATGTGGATACCCTAGGTAGAGAGAAAAAAACAGATCCAATAGTTATCTGGAAATTATAATAATTAGTATTCACAGCTTCCTGTTGGAGGGAAACACCCACACTGAGGATGCTAAAGGTCACAAAGGGTTAAAGGAATCAATCTTGATATAGCAAGAAGAATCATAGACAATGAACTGGAACATACCCTTCCAGGACAGGCAGTTGAAAGCTTGTGAAGCGACTGGGCCAACAGGATCTTTGGGTTGCCAACCGCATCTCCAATTGGATCGTGTTCCTTCCTTCCAGCGAAGGCGAGCTGTGAGAAGGCTGTCTGATAGCCTGGGGCGTCTTCTATGTCAATGAAGTGCTCGTCGTCTGGGATGCTGTCATCTTCTGGTAACTCAAACAGGCCAATAAGAGCCTGGAGCAGAGGGGTCCTAAGCAAATATATTCAAAATGAGCCATTTTAATAGTTCAATACGTTGTTTTTCCTGGAATCTGCCTTTAGTACACAACAAAAAAGTAACTCACTATAACTGAGGCACTTTCTGATAATATGCCCAGTGGCAGGAGGGAGGGGGATTTGACCATGTTAGCATGCAACATGGTGTTATATTTGTGCCACTAACCAGAGGGCAAAAATTTATGTGAATAATCTATGTGCATCTCACACACGCTCCCTCATCAAGTCTTCTGAGCGAACAAGCTGACAGCAGCAGCAGCCAATCCATTTACTATTCCTAATGTTAGTGAACTGCTCAAAACTTAAGCCGGGCATACATTGTGTGATATTTTCTATTGTTGCACGCAGCTACGGCTCAAAATGTACGATGAAACAGCAGGGTTTAAAAGTTCACAGATCATGATGAATTTTCTCATACTGTGCAGCTCGACGCACTGATGCGATCTACCTGCTCACATTGCATTTCCAAATACCACACGTCAGAAACAGCGCCAAGAGATGGTGCTGGTTGCATTAGTCAATCTGAAAGAACTCGCTTGTATGCATGTGCACAGTGCTTTAGGTTCTGGTAAATCGACTCGTAGACGCTAGTAGCTCTGCTTCCAACAGCAGGATTTGTCCACGAAGACCTCACGACGGCCGATTGAATTTCAAACATGTTTGATTTGCTCCTGACCTTCTGATTCCTGATCGGGGGGTTGTGAGAGGCTAATCGCCCCTCGTTAACCCCTGTATACTACGCGAAGCAGGACGCAAGATGAGCCTGAAACCCTGCCCAAAAAATTCTCGCACAACTGGAGAATCAGCCTAAAATAGGCAAAAAAATAAAAATAAAAAAAATCATTCAGTGTATAACCGGCTTTAGAAGAAAACAAAAAAAACCTCTTAAATCATGAATAAAGATGACCTTTTTTTATAATGTTAAGATAACAGTAAATTAAACATGTTTACAAAAGGCACAAAACTGATTATATACTTTTTTTTTTGTCTGACCTATTCCTGGTGAATCCATGAATAAAAGCAGTTCAGTGTGATGAACAGTAAAGTTACATTACTGTATACTGCGCTACAGTGACATACCCATTTAGTTCATGAAGTTTTGTGTTAAAGAACTTTAAAGGATCCATTTAAAGGGGACATCAGAGGACTAGATCACTGGGATGACAGCTATAATTCAAGGTACACTTTAGTCGAAGCTAGCTCTTACCATAGCTTTGTGTACTCTGTATCCATCATGGCGGGGCACTCCGTGAGGATTTTTATAATGCCCACAGCACAGATCTTCTTCTCCACTGCTCCAGACACCTTCTGAACCTCTGGAATAATGATTTTCTCCAACACCATCCCAAACATTCTGCGGATCAAAAACGTTAAAATAGTCAAATGCAAAAACGTATCAATTCAGTCAAATAAAAACTATACAAAATCGAGATACTACAATTCAGCATTCTACCGCTATAAAGGTAGAATGCCGCGGGGCAGATTTTATTTTGAAATCCAGCATACAGAATAACAGTTACTAACAGCACATTTCAAAAAGCAGCATTTATGTGTAAAATGTAAGATTAGTGCTGCTTTAAAGTGACCAATTGTTTATATTGTAAAAAAAAAAAAAAAAAGAAGTTGCGTACTTTGTCTGAATGCTGTCGAAGATCTCCTGAAGTGCAATGGCTCCATATTTGGCACAATATAAATTCACAAACACCAAAAAACCTTTGAGGACAGAAACAAAAATATTTATTTTAGGCTGCATTACGAACATCTTCGATTAAAAGAAATAAATGAAATGATCTAGATCACTGCTGTACAGTTAATATCAATTACATTCAGCTGAGGCACCTCTGAAATACTGAAACTTAAGTCAGTCCAAAACAATGAAACTCATAAAAGTGACTTAGAAATTTTACTTAAGTCTTTTTCCTTTTCTTTTAAATGTAAACCTTTTCAAATACTTTAGAGCTGAAAATATGGTTTTGTGTTTATATTTCAGAGTTTGTCTTTTTTCTGTGATGAGAATCTCCTTTTTTAGTGGGATGTTGTTATTCACGCATTTGCTAGGCTAACCGTTAACATTTATTAAAAATGCTTTACTAGTTTTGACACAATGCACTTCTTTTTAGGTAACCTTGGTTCCCAAAGAGTTTCATAAAAACTGTTATATTCAAATAAAATCAAATAACGCCAGTCTTCTATTACTGCTAAAACTATTATTG